GCTTGAAAGAGCTTGGTCGGGCAAAAGAAAAAATAAAAAGAGTTTCCCAAATATCACGTAATATAGTTAAAAAGGAAACGCGGGACCGAATTAATTGAAGCGTATAGTTACATTACACGTAACCAGGACTAATAGTGTAGAGGGGTTCGCTTAATTTATTAATTCCCGTATTCATGACAATACATTATCGAGCCACAAAACATATACTCTCTCCGTTTCACAAAAACTGTCATTTTGACACATTTCACACAAATTAAAAAAATTTTGAATTATACATATATGTCCCTATTTAATAAATGATTAATATTTTAAATTTAATGAGATTAACTTTAGGTTAAGGGTAAATCAGGAAATTTTCACATTGAAAATATAAATAACACTTTTGGTGAAACAAAAAAAATTAACATTTTTTTTTTTTTTTTTGACAGCAAAAAAAAAAAAATTAACATTTTAGAAAGACACTCTTTGTGAAACAGAGAGAGTATTAATTAACCATACAAATACATATAAATAAGAATTATGACTAGCATAAAGTTTATATCAAAGATGGATAAAATTTTACCGGACGCAAATTTAATGTGAAGTAGTAATATACACCTTAACAAATAGTATTAACAATTGGTATGGTAGTTGTGCTACAGGGATTAGTTTAGCTAAACTCCGGTCATCCAGAATATAATTATATTCCCAAATCCCAATTAGAATTTACGTTCTGATGAATTTGAAAAAGAAAACAATGATATGTCTTTATATATATGATGATGAAAGTTGGAAAACAAAGTGAGTAAGTGACGTGTGTGGCTTTGTGCTAATGATCCAATCTACCTAGTTTTATTTCGACTTTCGAGGAACCGTGTGGTAGACGTTGTCAAACCGCTGCCTAAAGACTAAAGTTAGCGTTCCAAAACAGTGAAACACGGATCTACACGTAACCTTTGAGTCATTTTGTTGTTCTTGTATGAATTATTTGACCTTTTTTCTGTTGTGTGTTTCAACTTCTCGTCTTGTCGGAAGAGGAATAAGTCTGTGAGCGAGGAGGAATAAAAATTATACAATCGTAACTACAACCAAAAAAGCATGCTCCTATCCATTATGATCTTGAGTGAACTTTACTCACATAATCACATTCTTATTTAATTGGATTAGGCAAGCATTTCTTGGGTCATATGGGCTTCATCTTGTACCACACAGCTTATCCGGAAAGCTAGGCCTTTTAAAAATAATGAATTAGTTAAAAATGAAAATAGTTGCAAGAACAAGAAATAAACTAAGAAGTGAACGCAAATGCTGATTCGAACACGCGAAACCACGTTCTTATTAGGATTAAGCCGTAATGGTGCATTGGCACTAGGACACGGCGTTTGAATATTAAGACACTCGTTTTGCTGCCTGCAAATGCACTATATGGAAGCTTAGAATTAAGACGATCAATATGATGAAGTAAATACTATTTATAAAAGTAAGTGTTGTATATATGTATAACCGTTACATGAAATGAATTTGGGTTCAGAATTTTGAATGTTTGCATGCGCATTGCTGTTTTGTATACCATGATCTAATTTTGATCAAACATATGCTTCTTATCTGGTTCAATGATAATTTTTCGATGTTGTTTTCCATATCCAAATGAATTGCTTGGTTTTAAGACATACACATCAAAAATTTAATACGTTAAAATTCTAAATACTGATATTGCCCTTTGGGATGACTATATAGCCAGCACTATGTTTATCTATATTTTAGGCGCAAAAGAATCTATAGTTTTATATCGCAAAAGGTGCATTTGTTTGACGCCAAAAAAGGAGAATTCATTTTATTTGGGGCAAGAAAAAAAATGTGAGGAATATGATTCCGAATCGTATGTGGGAACACGCGTTTCTCGGTAGCGGGTTGGAGCATTTCTTGAGCTGACGCCAAACTCATCTTTATCAATCTCATACCTCCACGTAATAATAGAGATATGTGGAGAAACACACGAATATGTGTAAAGAAAATTTTGTTTTTCAAATTTTTTTTTTTTTTTTGCATCTATATATCTCTTATAATTGGAAATTTAATTTAATATTTAATTCATGAATCGGTCGGTATATGTATTCAATTTGATTTGCAACCACACGACGTAAGGACGACATTACTGCATGTTAATATACTAATATGTGACGCCGCGATCCGTCCTCGCTCTTTATTCTTAATTCTTATCATCGTCGACATTGGTTATTAGCTTAATTTACTAGGTTTATTTACAATTTTTAAAACCATAAAAGTGTGGCATACATGTAAATCACATGATTTATTATATAAAAAATATAATAGCGCATTTATTCTATATATAGGGCTGTTCACGACATATTCAAATTGCGTGACAGAAAAATATCACCTTTAATTTCTAATATATCCTGTATTTTTAGTATTGAAAGTTGACATTCTTTTCCTATTTTTATATTGTATAAATAAAACATATCTCATATCCTTTTTTTTGGTGAGACGAAGGCATATATATATATATATTGATCTCCATATATCTTAGCCTTTGACAAAAAAAAAAAAATCTTATCCTATAACGTACATTTTCTTTCTTTCCATATATAATCTACTTTTCACTAACCAACTCAATTATTTGTGCGCACCAGTGATTTTGGTCCCTCTAAACTTAATTCATCAATGGTCAGTATATATAAACCAAAACTTTAGGAGTATTTTTTTATTCATGTAATAGTACTACAACACGATACATAAATGATAAATCACTTTATTTTTGTTATCTATAAGGGTGATATATCATCTATATTTTGCAAACTAAGAATGATATATTGTAGGCATTTCCACCATGCATGCATGAACCCAAATTTGGCCATTGGTCTTCTAGCAGGCCAACTTTTCAGGTCCAAGAGTCGTACATGCAACCATCATCGAATCTATTAGTTATCGTATTATGATATATGTAAGCAAGTCTAGAAAGGAGCATCTGTATAGTTTGGAAAAAGAAAGGTTCGTTTATGTATTGGATAAATGTTCTTTTCACGTGCTTGTAGCCATCCAAGGATTCGGTGGAATTATTAAAAGGACAATTACTTTTAAGAAGTTATAAATAAATCTTAGAAAATCAAGAATGACAATAGTTCTATATTATAAATGATCTGATTAATTAGTCCATTTTCGTTATATATATTTTGGTTGTTAAAACCCTTTAGGATGACAATATATATATATAGTAAAAAAATAATTTAATATCATGTTTGCATCTCGAAACAAAAGCTCATGCAGTAACATGCACCCTATTTCAAAACAGATTTAGTTATTTGGAAAATTATCACATACCAGTTATGTCTTCTTCTGTTATAAAGCTGTTGAGTCGAACCATTAATATTTTATATGTACATGCATGTGATTAATCTCAAAATGTTTGGCATGTTGCAATGGACCGTACGTCTAGGTCACGCATCTTATCCGACATCATGGGACCAGATCACGACATGGTCTTAGTGAGAATATATACATATATATATATATATATATATATATCTAAAATGATCTTGGTCTGATTGCTGATGCAATGTTTTCTCACATCTTAAAGATCATGGGTCTAATTGATCTTGGCCGGTGAGCTTTTGAAAGGGAGGCCGGAGGGGAATGACCATTTACTGAGTTCGACTTCTACCAACAGATTATTTAACATGAGCAATTTCTGGTCCAGATACTATAACTCCTCACAAGAAATTAAAAAATCATGGGCACAATGCATGTTTTTGATGTTTGTGTGCATTAAAAACACACACACACACACACACACACATTATTAAGAAAGCGTTTAGATTGGACTTTTAAGATAACCAATAAACCATGATTAACTAAACCGCATGTTGCCTGGGGAAAAAGTTATTTAAACGGGGACCTCAAGGGCATATATAAGTATGTGTTCTTACTTTCATACGTATTCTCCATTCGTTGTCCTTAAAATTCGTTAGTCACCATGAAAGCAAATGAAATGCTTAGCTCATACGAAGAATCTTTCTCTCTTCCTCTCACTTATTATTATTACAAAAAGCTTTTTCTTTGTGAGTTGCAAAATGTGGAAGTGGCGAGTCGGGAATAGAATCCTCACGTTGGAGAAGGGGACGTGGCCTAAAGAAAAAAGAGCCCTTATTTTGGATAACTATTTCTCCAACTCATAAGATGCCTTCTGATAGGCTTTACATATTCCATTTCTAGAGAGAAAGAGAGAGACTCATATTGAACAAAATGCATATGCAAGAAATCCAACTTAGCTCTAAACCTTCTAGTTAATAATTATGGTAGGAAAAAATTTGGAAACTTAAAACGTTTTTTTGGTTCGTGACACTTAAGGTGATTAGAAGATCCTAATTAGATTAACTTAATTCGAATTTAAAGTCCAGAACCAAATATCATGAACTCTTTTAGATGCTAATCCTCTATGGACAAGGTGGCATGTATACTAATTGTACGTATAAAAATAATTAACGACATTAGATTGAGTAGAGTGCTGGATTTACCGGATTAAAAAAAAAAAGTACTTATGAATGTGCATGCATGATCCAGTGACCTACCAATGGAATGTCTTATGTCTATCTAGTCACTTGGGTTCGACCCATGACAAAAAATCCGTGAGTTTATCTGAATTTTCAATCTACGCCATTTCAAAAAATATGTGAGTAAATCTTTGTTGAGCCACAATGAGTAATAGCCGAGAACAATATAAACCTTTTTAAAAAAACAAGGCTAAAAACAATCATTTAGGTTTTTTATTTATTATTACTTGAGATCGACTATAAATCGCTTTATGGAACCGTACGGACATTCTCACCTTTTAGCCATGACTATATACATAGGTCTAAATGCCTAAATGGACAATAAAAATAATATAAAAGAAAAGATAAGTTCGAAAATTATAGATTCTCAATCACTTACATTTTGTGATCCAAAATAAAATTGAACTTGTGTCGCTTTCGGACACGATATCGTTAGAAACAAAATCCAAACATCTTTTCCCATCTAATCCAATAATATCATCGTCTTCTCTGCCTCTATATAAACAAACACTTACTCACCTATTTCATATCAACACAACATTACAAAACCCTTATTCTCCACGTAGAACCAAGAGTTTTCTTTTCCTTAAATCTCTACAAAAAAAAAATCGATCTATAAAGAGCACATACATATTGATTCATAAACCTATTTAAGAAACGACTTAAGAAGCTGTTGGATCATATATACCATATAAAATAGCAATGGATATGATAACGAAGATGGTGATGGAGAGACCGGTGGTGATATACAGCAAGAGTTCTTGTTGTATGTCTCACACGATCAAGACTTTGCTCTGCGATTTCGGAGCCAATCCAGCGGTTTACGAGCTGGATGAGCTACCTAGAGGGAGGGATATCGAGCGGGCGTTGTTGCGGCTCGGGTGTAGCCCCGCAGTTCCGGCGGTTTTCATCGGTGGAGAGTTGGTCGGTGGAGCCAATGAGGTCATGAGTCTACATCTTAACGGATCCTTGATTCCTATGCTTAAGCGGGCTGGTGCATTGTGGGTTTGACTTATTATATTTTTAACTAGTTTACTTAACACTAAGTTAAGTACGCAGAATAAAAATTTAACACATCTATGAGCTATGGCATGGTGATATGATAAGTCCACGTCGGATCAATAATCAGTGAGTTGTCTTTTTTTTGTTTTGATGTTACCTTACTTTTAAATATGTGTTGACTTGTATGAACTTTTACGAAAATAATAATATATCGACCTGCATAAACTAATATATGCAAAGTAAGAATACATATTTGGGGGGCATCAAAGAAAAATTGTACCGAGATATCAATATTTGACTTTTACAACAACAAAAATTTGAAAGTAGCCAACAACATATTACTCATAATAATCCATTTGTCTTTCCTTAAAAAAACAAAAAAATAATAATCCATTTGCCTAAAAAATTAAGTTGACTTTTAAGGTTTGATTTATTTTTCTTCATATAGATGAAACTTTTAATGAATTTATTTAACAATTTTTTTTTTTAATCTAAAATCACTAAATTGTAAAAATATTTTAAATAAATATACTATTCTCTGTTCCTAAAAGTTTTTTTTTTTTTTTTGATAACTCGGGTGTCCGGTCCCACCGAGGTGAAACCGACTAGCGTGGGACCCACATGCGTCATCTGCCCTAGGGTACCCCACATCCCGGGGAGCTGGCGATTCCCTCATGTAAATCCGCCAGTGGCCGTGCCTCGAACCCTGGTGGCGGAAGTCACAGCCGTGACCCCTTTACCTCTAGGCCACAAGACCCGGTTGTTCCTAAAAGATTGATGTTCAAGCATTTGTTGTTTGTTCTATAAAGATTGATTTTCTAGCATTTTTATTTTATTTTTGTTAGTTATATTAATAAATTATAAACTTCAAGATATTATAAATTATTAACTTTCGTATACAACTATTGGGTGATAATTATTAAAAATATTTAAAATTTTAAAAAAAATTATAATTATTAAACAATGATTGATAAAAACTCCAAAACATCAAACTATTAAGAATAGAGGGAGTATATTCTAAAAAACAATGTAAAAAGTAAAAACTAGCAAGTCCATATTTGAAAGAGTGGTAAAGGGGCCACAGCTGTGACTTCCGCCACCAGGGTTCGAGGCACGGCCACTAGCAGGTTTATATAGGAGAATTGCCAGCCTCGTGGGATTAGTTTTTGGGCCTAAGAAGCCTTTGGGAGACCGCGGTTATTTAAAAAAATAAAAAACGAAAACTCATTTTTCGAAAAGAAGCTGGGACCCACAAAGGCGTCGCATTAAATATCTTCGGCGAACTCCTAAACTCCAATCACACACTTCCGCAGAAACAGACAAAACATGTCGCCATAACTCAACGAACCAAAAACCACACATGACACAACAACGGTTGTTCGGTTCCCATCTCTCTCTCTCTCTCTAGTCTCTACTCTCTACTCTCGAACGGCTAAAGTAAGCTCAGATCATTACAAGATTCGCTTTTTACTGTTCAAATACACGAACTTGGTCCCATTCATTAGTTATTTGCTTAAAGACAACATTTTTATTTATATGCTTCCGTAAGCTAAATCCATCTTCCTCCTTCAATCATTTTCCTGCGCTGGCCCCAGACAGCTTGCTAGGATTCAATACGACTTCGTTTAGGTTCGTCACCAGCTGTGGATAATGGCTATTCTCTGATTTTGATTCTATTCACTATTTTTTTACTGGGAATATTATCGGCAAACCAAACAGGTGAGTTTTGGGGTTGTTATGTGGATCTCTGTTTTTGTTGGATTCCGGTTTAACTTCTGAATCTCAGATTCGCAACAAGTTAAGAAAAAAGTTGAGAAATTTCTTGCTTTTGGGCATCTCACGATGATGACAATGTGAGCTTTTTGCTGCTCTGTGCAACTTTTTTGTTAGGGTTTATATTTCTTGTGGGGATTTCTGAGAAATTGGAAGAAAATGTTCAGCTTTTCTAAGAGACGCATGAGACTTGGCAGGTTAGTCTTTCTTTCTTTTACCCTTATGTAAAATCAGATCACCTTTTTGTGGGTCTGTCTAGATTTTCTGAAAGTTGGCAACTTTTTGGGGTTTCTTTACCTTTTCATTTTTTTTTTTACATTTTAAGCGGATTTAGGAATCACCTTTTGGAGTATCCTCCTGTTTAAGCTTACTGTAAAAGCAACTCCTTTTAATATTGTTTGAAGATCAAGTATTGGTCCTTTCTTTAGTCCTACCAAGTACCATTGATTCTTTGATTTGTTCTCAATTTGGGGGTTTCTATTTTTAGGTTGATAAGCTATTTTTTAATCAATATTTCGGTTCATGGTTACTATAGATTCTGTTGTTTATGCTTCTTTTCTGAATGTGGATGTAATTGATCAGAGTTAAGAAGGTACAGCTCTCGGAATCTGTTCAAGGATATAAGAGTCCTTTACGAGTGACCAAACTGGCTGATAACTCTAGTGTAAGTTATATAAGAAGACTGCAATACTTAACTGTTTTTTTTGGTAACATTGACTATTATCTGATCTGTAAGAAACATTATGCAGAATGAAGCTGCAGTGGCTGCAACTAGTTATTCTGATGAATTTGATTTCCAGCCTTCATCGGGGAATTCTGAAAATTGGATGGTGTTATCGGTTGGTGGGGCAAAACCCGCTCCACGCTTTAATGTAATGAGTTTCTCAGCTGTTTATTCCAGTCATTAGCTTCTGAAGTGTGAACTGTTTTGAAAGACTAATTGTTTTTTTTCTTTTTACTTTTATGCAGCATGCGGCCGCGGCTATTGGGAACAAAATGATAGTAGTTGGTGGAGAATCTGGTAGTGGCTTGTTGGATGATGTACAGGTAAAAAGTGTAGGGACAAATCAACGCCTAATAGTATCCGGTCAAAGAGATTAATATTCTCAGTTTTGCATTTACAGGTGCTTAACTTTGATTCATGTACATGGTCCACCGCGTCTTCAAAAGTTTACTTATCGCCGAGTAGTCTTCCTCTCATGATCCCTGCTTGGAAGGGCCATTGCTTGGTAATTGATTGCTGGTTTGAGCAAAGATGTTTCTGTTTTTGTGGTTTTACGCCTTTCGGTTTTTATTGTTTTTTATCTGTTGTCAGGTCTCTTGGGGTAAAAAAGTGCTATTGGTGGGTGGAAAAACAGATCCTTCCAGTGATAGAGTTTCAGGTAAAAAAATTGTTGTTTGGATTCTAAAGTTTTCACATTGTTGTTTGGATTCTAAAGTTTATATTTTTGATGTTTCGCTCTGCCAAATTGGTGTTGTATTTGTATATATTTTTGGCAGTTTGGGCATTTGATACTGATTCGGAATGCTGGTCGCTTATGGATGCAAAAGGAGACGTACCAGTAATTCTTACTCCTCAATACACATTTAGAAGTTTGTGGCTTTATGGTTTGGACTGTGAAGTGACTTGAGAAAAATTCTGATTTGAATATGAAAATGCAGGTCAGTCGCAACGGTCACACAGTGGTGAGGGCCAGTTCGGTATTGATACTTTTCGGCGGTGAAGACTCTAAGAAGAGGAAACTAAACGATCTTCATATGTTTGATCTCAAATCATCCACATGGCTTCCTCTTAATTGCACGTGAGTTTTTTTTCGTTTTTCTGATGATAGTTTACATTTAACTTCTACTTGTGATTTCTTGATACGTTTTTTCCTAAAAAACCAGAGGAACACGGCCATGTGCAAGATCGCATCATGCGGCCACGCTATTCGACGACAAAATTCTCTTTGTGTTTGGAGGTTCGGGCAAGAACAAAACACTAAATGACTTATACTCACTCGACTTTGAAACGGTAAATACTTTTCGCCCACACCCATCTTTCAATCTTATTTACTATAATGTTTTTTTTTTTTTTTTGACATCTTGTCACTGAACATTTCTTATCTTTTGGTGTCATCAAGATGGTATGGTCAAGAATAAAGATAAGAGGATTTCACCCGTCTCCAAGAGCGGGTAGTTGTGGAGTTCTTTGCGGTACTAAATGGTATATAACCGGAGGAGGAAGCAGAAAGAAGAGTAAGTTCTACCTCAAAACTGCACTAAATTCTACTTGGATCTTACAAGTTTGCTTTACTTTTCCAGGACATGCGGAAACATTGGTCTTCGATATCCTTAAGGTCGAGTGGTCTGTAGCAAACACCTCCTCTCAATCTTCGATCACATCCAACAAGGTGGATAAATAGAAAAATACCATATTATATTTAACTAACTTTTATATTCTTTCAACCGCCATCTGTTAAAGCTCAGCTATTGTCTCGTGGTATGTTTGGTATAGGGATTTAGTCTAGTTCTTCTACAACACAAGGATAAAGATTTCCTCGTAGCTTTTGGAGGAACAAAAAAAGATCCTTCAAATCAGGTCCGAGCCTCATCATTCTGCTGTATTGTTCACATTTTTGTTTCAAGTTCTCGATCTTTCTCCATGTATTGATGCAAAGTCTGAATCTTTTCTATGAAAAGGTCGCGGCTTTTATCGTTGACAAGAACAAGAGTGAATCGCCAACACATCCTCAAACAACTTCCAAGAAAAACCCCGGCCGGTTACTGTTTGGAAAACGATCTTCTTCCTCGGCAGTTTTAACCTCTGATGAATCGGTTAAAGCCTCCTCACAGAGGCTGATTGATTCAGTCGCCAGACAGAAACTTGCTTCAGCCATTGAAGAACATGGTGGCTCTGGTAGAAGGTCTTTATCAGAGATTGCTTTCGGTGATCATCGTAACCCATCTTCTGGAAATGTCTCTTTGCGTAAACAGTTTAGCACTGAAGAGGAGTACAGAGCGGTAATTGAACCCGCAAAGTGCTCAGAAGAAGAACTTTCCGTGCCTCAGGTATATATAGTTAGTTCACCTGCATTTACTGGCGTTCTTGAATTGCCTTTAAAACGTCTGCATTTCCTTGTCTTGGTTTCAGACCGCGGATGACAATAATGGAGGAGGAGCAAAGATTACAGGAGAGAAAACACTTTCTATGGTTTCAGACCGTGAAGTCTTAAATCTCCAGAAGCAATGTTCTGAAACATTTCCTTTAGAAAACGTGGATGGCACCTTGATAATCCAGGAAATGGATAATATCAATTTTGCAGGATCAGCGTCATCATCGAGCGTGTACCAATTCCATGAGGCGAAAATGACTGCTCTTATAAGAAGAAATGGGATTCTAGAAGGGCAGTTAGAAGCAGCATTGGCGGGAAGAGAGGCGGCTGAGAGGAATGTGTCGGTTGCGTTGAGGAGCAAAC